CACACAGAGCACTATATCCATTTTGACTCTCAGCACCCATCAGAAAACAAGTGGGGGTTATTAGAACTCAATGCTGGGCTGAGATGGGATCAGCAAACAGAAAGTCTAAAGACAAAGGACACAGACATCTCTGGAGTGCTTTGAAAGTTTGTGGCTTTCATTAAAACATCCACAAGATCAATCAACCATTGAACAAAGGGGACAAGCAGAATACAAGGAGTAATATAGTCATCTTACATGTGGCTGGAGTGTCAGAAGGAATTTTAAAAAACATCACATCCCTGTATCTGTAAAAAATAAGTCAAGGCAACTGGACTTGCTGTATTTTTCTTGAAGACATTTCACTGGACATCCGACCAGCTTTCTCAATTCAGAATGACTTACAAAAAATTATCTGGGAATACATATGGTGAATGTCGCTCCAATCCACATAATCTGTTAGTCACAACCAGGTGTTGATTACAATTACATTTGCATAATTGGAGTCTAGGAGGTGTTTTTAACCTGCCCTGAGAGAGGTGTTAAAACAGCATTGTATGTGGCTGACAATAGATGTCTTACCCTCCCCCCACCTCTATTCAAGCTTCGTCTTCAAGAAAAATACAGCAAGTCCAGTTGCCTTGACTTTTTTTTTACAGATATACCATGACCTGGATGAATGAGAACCTTCACAGACATCACATCCCTGTGTCTTTCAAACCCAGCAATACATTGAGACAGAAATGTATACATCCAAAGGACCCAACTCCCGAACATAACCGCAGTATCTTTGTAAATGTGGTGTAGTGTGTGAAGAATGCAAAGATCTGTAAATCAGGAGACAAAACAACCTCTCATAAAACCTTCACCTTATGGAAAAGGTATTTTCTTTCAAGGACATTGAGGTGCACATTTTGGACAAAGAACAACCGGCTTTTTTGTCAAAATGGAACAATCATCCATGTCAAAATGTAACAGCCATCCTTGTCAAAATGGAACAACCATCCATGTCAAAATGGAACAGCCATCCTTGTCAAAATGGAACAACCATCCTTGTCAAAATGGAACAACCATCCATGTCAAAATGGAACAACCATCCATGTCAAAATGGAACAACCATCCTTGTCAAAATGGAACAACCATCCATGTTGAAATGGAACAACCATCCTTGAACAAGGCTGGTGATCTCCAACATCATCTTTCAACCACAAATAATGATTTTTAAGATCTTTACCCTGGCGATTTGTCATCAAATTACACCTTCAGCAACGTAACTGAAAGGTTATACGCCTATGCAGACTTCTTGACACCAAGGGATTGGATTATGTAATTATAACAGGGTGGTTCCACAACATTCACACCTCCCATCTTGTTCTTGGACAATCAACATCTACCTTGTCACATTCAATGATGATTGGATTAAAGTTACTGTGATGTACTTTGATGTAGTCTGAGTTGTCAAGGGTGGCCTCCCTTGTAGCTCTGGTCCTAGAGTGCCTAGATGGTGGAACAGGTGCGCAAGTGCACAGAGGGGCATGAGTGCCGGACAATGACACCATAGCCAGGTAAGCAGTTTCTGTGATGCTGACAAACCTCGAGCAGGATGCTTGCACAGAAGAAATACACTGGAGAGCTGGGTTTCAGAGAAACCGTGGTCGATACAAGATGAGTCGTGCAGCAAAGGCGGGCAGCATGGCACCAGGCGGCAGGCAGGGACGAAGTCAGGAACAGGCCAAGGTTGAGAACATGAGGACAATACAGTACAGGGTGTCAGGCTGGAGCAGTGGTCAAGAACAAGCCGAGCTCAACACAGGAACACAAAAGAGCAGCGGAAGCTCAAGACAAGCCAGGATGTTAATGTGTAATTAAAATTAGAACACAGGATCTCAGAAAACGGGCTCCAGAGGTATGAACGTCACAGCCTATATAGCCTGTAAGGCGCTAGAGTTTGAATCGTACACAGGCTCATGCCAGTGCACATGTGGCAATGCATGCGCACACATGCCCATGCATCTCTGCTATGATGCACAACCTGACAAAGCTCTGTGGGCAAAACCAGGCATATAGGCACACACACAGACAGTTGCACCTGAACACTGGCTCTGGCTTCCTAACAGTGACTGTGTGAATATTAATGCTGAGATATTTTCCATTACAACTGAAAATGTGGATTTAATAATTTGTATCTACAATATTACAGAGCAAGTCCAGTTCCATGTGACTAACTACTACTACTAGCTATGGTGGAGAGATCATCTTGTCTGACAGAGAAGAAGGCCGCAGTCCTTCACAAGGAAGCTGTGATGCTGCCCATACAATGTTTAACGGCATTATTGTTTCTATAGGTTCCTTGTCAAACAAGCTATAATCTTTCTTCCTTGTGTATATACTTCAGCATACATATGACACAGTCAGACCTTCTACAAACAGAAACATGTGCATCCTAGTGTTATTTACAACTAAAGTGAAGCAGAAGCATATTGTTTGAAAAAAATCTTTGCAATGGAAATTGACAACAATATTAAACAAAATATTTTATAATAACTTTCCAGCCTAAAAATAACATTTTACTATCTCCTGTATGAGTCTAGTTACATGGTAACATGGCAAGAACAGTTAGTCAGAAAGGGAATATTTCAGCAGTAGATCCTTTAATTATTAAATACCTAAATAGTCAGAACTGCTGTAAAGTTATTTGATACTGCTTTTGCATTCAATATGCATCTCTAAATGACATGGGGTATCAAACCTCAAGCAATTGAAACCTTACCGAGCCATCACTTACTGCAGTTAAGATAGCAGTATCTTGTAGCAAGGCAGCATTGTATTTGATCCTGTAAAGTTGGATACAGATCTACCCATTAGAGTTTCTAGTTCAGCCCCCAGAGCAGCTGTGTTGGCCTTAGGGTTTGTTCACACCATGTCCGGACCAGATCTGGAGCAGATCTGCAAACGCAGTGCATTTTTGACGCGTTCTGTTGCGTTTTTTTTTTTAACTGAGGGTGTTTTTACAGCAATTTTTACCATGAATTTTGACGGTTTTTTAAAGCTTAGAATGGGCTTTCAGGTGCAGTCCATTGTTTTGCATGCGTTTTGATGCGTTTACATGCATTTTGGAGCGTTCCAGAACAGAACAAATTCGGAACAGACTGCACTGGTGTGGCCGGAGCCCAGAAATTAGGATGCATTTCAGGTGCTGACAAAAACTGTTCTGGTCCGCATCTGGTCCAGACATGGTGTGAACAAGCCCTAAAGCCAAATTACAAATAAGTGGAAGGTAAGACTGTGCTGGTTGACCTGAGGTTGAGATGAATAGTTTATGGTCACGGAGAGGAGGCCAAGATTCTAACGTGGAGAATGCCCTAACTGGATTCGTGAAAAACAGAGGGTTTTTCAGAGTGTAAGCCAAAGCTTCGGCTAATCCTTTGGCTCACTTCGGCCGCCGGAGCCCTTCAGTTCAGCTGGACCGAAGGGCTGCTGTATGGGCTATACCCAATAGCCCATACAGCCCATGTTCTGAGGTAGCAAGCCGAAGAAAAAAAAATGTAAGCAAAAGAAGAAAAAAAAAACCCGGCGTGGGGTCCCCATCCCGATCCGGATGGGGGCCACAGTCCATGAATGAGCGTAGTGGTACAGGAGCAAGAGCAGCGTTGCGGTGAGAAAAAGTAGTGCATGCAGTACTTATTTTTATGACAATGCAAGGGCCAGTATTGCAGTACTGCACGTTTCACTGCAACGCACAGCTTCCAGGAGGTGTGTTGGAATGGCATTCAAATGAATGGATTATGCACCTAGCGCACGGTACTGCACACAAGGTGCACTGTGCATTTAAAGCAACGCCATGGTGTGAATGGGCTCTAAGTATGCATATGTGTTGCTACAAAAGATTATATATTCTCTCCTGGTGTGTCTAGATATGATATATAATCACGTCATCATGCTTTCCTAGGCTGAAGTTTGTGCAGAGAAAACTTTACGCTCTCTGCCTACAAACTACATGTCTTGTAATGCATTGGGAGATCATGGTGAGAGATGTGAGAACGTGCCTCTCCTTGTGTTTTCTTACCTTGGAAATTAGTGAAATCTCACGTAACTTGTGTAACTGTGAGAGATTTGAGCAGTAATCAACGCAGTGAAGCTGCATCCATTACATTCAGTCCCACCCCTGTACGGATTGTTGATTTGTCCAGGAACATTTGGAAAACAGCTCACCAGACACCGAGAGCTAGATGCAGGTCAGTAATGGCACTATACACACATACACCATTACCCAAACTTTACATACACACATACATCACAAAACACACAACACAAACCTGCAACTGGACTTTAAAATGTATCTAACTCCAAAAACAAACGTAATATATTGCAGCTTACTGGACCTTAGATGTCGTAGCTGGCCCTGGTTTCTTTTTTCAGCTTTTTTTCATTTGGTGAAACTTTGATCACTTCCATTCCTAGGATGACAATGCTCACTCACCGTACTGTATCAGCACAGCATAAACAGGAAAGGACTACATGACTCTGCCTCTCTGCTCTTCTCCATAACAGGGGTGTGGTTCTGTAGTACTGAGAGACAGCTGAGAAAAATGTAACTGGAATGCAAGTGCAGTGATGTGGGTGTTCTTGTAGTCCATTGGCATTACCTCCCATGCATGTAACTGAAAATTTGTACCTTGGTACACTACAGGCAGAGACAGGAGGGAGAATCTGCAGAATGCAGAGCATTGCACCTGCGATCTACTGATTGCAGTTGTAATGCTTTACTGGGTTCAATGTAAAAAATAATCAATGCACATTTTTTTCTAAATGTGGAATTTCGCTTTCATTTTTCAATGTACCATACTCCACATCCTACTGGCCCAGCTCTCCCATGTTAGGTAAAGCAGTGCAGTCAAGGCCCAGCAGTGGGCGCTGTAGGGACGTGTTCAGTCTCTCCATGCAGTGCTATCTATCCCCATCCCGGAAGATTGTCACGGGTGGTATGGGAGGTCATGTGACGTCGCTTCCTGGAGTCCGGCTTCATGCTGGATGTTTATAGCAACATAAGATAGGAGGCTGCCATGTCTCTTCTCTGGTTGCTACTGGCCGTCCTGTCTATGCTGGAAGCCGGCTATGCTGATTTCTCAGGGACAGAACCACCTGACAGCAGACACAACACAGTGAGGATCTGTGCTGACAATGAGACGGAGGTGTGGGAGCTGCTGGAGAATGAGACCAAGCGGGGTACACAGGAGGAGCCCTCTAGCACCCCGCAGCCTGGCACCCCAACTCCATCACCTGCCAGCCAGACCCCTGTAATTGTCAGAGAGCCCAAATCGTTCGATCAAGTTCAGGCTCGCTCCGTCCCTGTGCTGGTGACCAGCGGTAAGTTTCCTATTGGGTTGAATTGGACTCCTGTTCTGCAGTACCTGTGCGGGTTAGGGTGGCATGACAATGGAGGATTGAAGCAGGTAGATGTATCTGGAAACAGGATCACCATACACGTTACAATCTGACCATACAATCAACTTTTACCAAAGCTATGTATTATAGGGCCTCCCTAAACTAACCAATCATTGTGTATCCAATCAGGCAGACCATTGCACTACAGAGTTATTGGTAGAGCTGAATGAGATTGTAATGTGCGTGGTGAGCTGTATACAGAGAGTTACTGGTCCATATATATTGTGCCCCTGTGTAGGTCTGCCCCTCTGTACCAGGGCAATTCAGACCCAATAAGCAGTGGAAAAAATACATAAAGCAAAACTTTATAACCCTTGCAGTGGGTCTACCCCCGCACACCAAGGGTGAAGTGTTTGTTTTTGTCTAGGGTGCAAAATACCAATGTTATACCCACCTGAACGTCACAGTCAGATGGCTGTGACTGCGCTCCATCCAGCCTCTCTCCCCCTCCACTGCAGCGAGGGTATGTCGCTCGGCGTCCTCACATCCTATACACTGTGTATAGAACATGATGACTCACAAGATCTTAGACCGCTGCAGCGGAGGGAGAAAGAGGCTCCAGGGACTGAAGAGCAAGCCAGCAGTTTCCTACCTAGACCTTAATGAGGGTAGCCCCACTGCAAGGGTTAATAAAAGTTTTCCCCCGGACTTCTTCTATAAGCTATGGTTCTTGTCCCTGCATGCAACAATCAATAGGCAGCTTTTATGACATGGAAATATTAAAGAATACCCAGGTTTTATAGTCAGGATTTTAAAGCATTATTAAACTCTACAATTGTAATATAAATGACAGAAGCTGATCTCCATACTTACCTTGTTCGCTGCTCCTTTATCGTCAGAAGGCTTCCTTTCTTTCTAAATGTTCCGGCCAAAGATCTTTTCTGCAGTTTTTATCTTCTCAGGTGGTTTCATTGCCTTGCATTGCCCTACGTTGGATGTGCGTTGGTTTGCTGCAAACAGAGTTTGCCTGAGCTAAACCTGTCAGTGATGAACCCCCCTCACGGCCCAATCAGCTGTGGCCAGGGCATTCCCAGCTTCGCAGTTACACATAACCAAGGGGCGGGAATGCCCTAGCCACAGCTGATTGAGCTGGAAGGGGGATGTCTCACTTGGGGGAACTCCCTTTACGCCAATGCACATCACCAGTCCTATGGAGCCACCCTTTTGTGCACACTGTGGGGATTGACTTCAAGACGATGCTGCCTGCGTCAACATGCACAGACAGCCAAAGATGACTGGTGGGGGTGTGCATGCCCAGTAGAACTTGGAATTATTGGGACATTCTGTGTAGGTTTGAGTGCTCCCTCCCTGACCAGAAGTTGGGGAAAGCAGCGCAAAGCAAGCTGGAGGCCAGCAGCTCTTTTAATCTCAGGAAGTGTTTCATACTTTTTACAAATAAAACATTACATTTAATCTTCTATATTGAACTGGCCGATTAAAAATGTAACTATGATAAGAGCTGGGGTGCTCCGGGCAAAAGTGGTATTAACCCTTGCAGTGGGGCTACCCCCATTCACTGCACATTGAGGGCTTATTCACACTATGTTCGAATCATGTCCAGAACAGTTTGTTCCTGGACCAGAAAAAGCATCCCAATGTATCCCTATGGTATTTCTGGGCTCTGTTCACACCAGAGCAGTCCGTTCCGGTCCAGACCCCCAAAAAATACTGCTCGTCTCATTTTCTGTCGTCTCGAATGTACTGGAACACATGGAAACATATAAAAAAATTCATTCAAATGAACTGGAACACGTTGTGCTGCACCTGTAAGCCCATTTAAGCTAAAAACAAAGTGGTAAAATGCAGCAAAACGCATTGCACTGCTTTTGCAGATCTGCTCCAGATCTGGTCTAAACATGGTGTGAACATAGCCTGAGTGACTGCAGTTGCAATGTTTCTTATATAGCATTAGCAGTTCACTTCTTGTAAAAAATTAGCCTGTAATAGGATTTAGGCTAGGTGCATACTTTGGCGATCCCGGGACGTATGTGCCACCCGGTCCCATTGATTATCAATGGGAGTTACATCCGCGTGGTAATCGATGGAATAAGGTACCTTTTTTTGCCACATATTTTTTTCAGCAGCGAGTGTCCGCGATTGCACAGGCAGAATCACGGCGGGAAACTACGCAATCTGCCTGGCGCGATCAAAGGTACTGTGCACGATTGCCGCGCGGTCACATATTGCCCAAGTGTGAACCTGGCCTCAGCATTTCAAGAGTTACATGGTGCTACTGGTAAATAGCCGGCACTTTCCATTTCTGATTTCTGGGCAACGGGAGCGGGGACAGTCAAGTCAAACATGACTCTATGTATTTATCAAGGTACATGTGTTTATATGGCTGTTTAATGCTCATAGAGTACCTCTGGGTTGAATGTCCACTTTAATGGGTAAAGGGACTGTAGTACGGTAATGTCCACTTGTTCTTGGTGCAACCAAGTGATGTGCAGCAGTTATCCACCTATGAATCTAATCACACATTATTATTCTTAGTTTCCAACCTGTGTGTTTGTGATCTGCTGGAAGCCCAGTGTGATGTCAACTGCTGTTGTGATCCTGACTGCACTGCTGCTGATTTCAGTGTCTTCTCTGGATGTTCAGTTTCTGCCGTCACGTAAGTATTTTCCATCTATATATGAAGATATGGTGTATCACTGTAAATGTCTTTGCAGTTTTCTAAGGCTTGAAGATACCTTAAACTTTGTCATTCAGAATTGTGGAATGCTGAGTATGACTTTTGGGAGTCTCTCTGCTAGGAACCCCCACCAATTAGGGGACAGGAAGAAGGGCCTAGTGCAGCGGTTCTCAACCTGTGGGTCGCGACCCCGTCGGGGGTCGAACGACAATTTGCCAGGGGTCGCTGGGAGTCTACTTTCCCTGAGATCGTTTTTTTTTTTTTTTTTTTTCTTCTTAATTCTGACATCGGCTGCCGCCATAAGTAAGAAAAAAAAAATCACAATTGGAATGCATAGCTAGATTCCTATTGGCTATTTCACTTTGCAATAGCCAATAGCAAACTAGCTATTGCACCCGCCCACTGCTGCTGTCAATGCTGGTTTTCTAGCGTGCTCCTTAGACAAAAGACGTGCGACGGTACAGTAGAAACGGTCGCACGTCTTCGTTCACACTGCTCGATTCCCGTACGAGAATCGAGCAGTGTATGGGCACCTTAAGTCTGAGCTCAGGCCGGTTTTATACTTCATGGGAAATAGATGATTGTTGGTTGTCATGGTGAACCTCTTGCTCCAATACTTTGACTTATTAAAGCAGATCTCCAGGCACAAAAACATTAAATGTCTTCATTAATAGTCACAAAGGATTTGTGCACCAAATGCCTTTGTGAACCCAAATAGCACCTTGTAAAAGTAACAATGCCATCATTAATGTGCTGTAAACAACCTGAGCATGGAAAATTGGGAGAGTTGTCCCTAGATGCAGCGCTACCACAAGGGTGGGGGTGTCTGGGTGTGGTTAGGAATGATGGGTGTGCTGCTTCTTATAGATGCGGACCGGGGTGTCCGCCGTTTGCCAAGGGGATCACGGAAAAGGGGGAGTACAGAAGCGCTACTACCATATATAAACTGAATAGAGATGGCCAACTTACCAATGGATGGATGGTGGAGCGTAATCAGTGGCGAGGGGTCGAAGGGTGTAGGTCCATGAATGGTGAGGGTGGTGAGCACTCAGGGGGATATGTGACAACGAGCGGTGTGTCTGCAGAACGGAGCGGGTGAGGACGGGAAGTGGCGGAGGTAAGAGCTGGGTCTGGTGTGGCAAAAAACAGAGCGGCTACACGTTTCGAAGAGCTTGTCTTCTTTCTCAAGCCGGGTAGTCCACACCAGACCCAGCTCTTACCTCCGCCACTTCCCGTCCTCACCCGCTCCATTCTGCAGACACACCGCTCGTTGTCACCGGGCTCCCCGCTCGTGCCCTCGAGCGTTGGAGTCTCACCACTTGGACCGGCCCTCCTGGCCACATACCCCATCGACAGGTCACCACCTCCATTACCATCCCTTATCTTCCTGAAACACCCGCCGCTTGTCAGCAAGTGCCACATTCCACACCCCCGATCCATTCGGCGTCCCGCCTTGAATAGATTGAAGTCTCCCAGCCGTCGGCTCAGACAGCCTGTCATCCAGCATCACCCTTTACAACTGTAACAGCACCCATCATTACTCTCTTCACTGTGCCTGCAATAACCAGCGCCCCCCCCTTCCTGCAACACATACCCAGGCTAGCATTTACACTGTGCCCCCCTCAGCCGCCACAGCAGAGACCCACATACCTCCTAATTGCTCACATATCCCCCTGAGTGCTCACCACCCTCACCATTCATGGACCTACACCCTTCGACCCCTCGCCGCTGATTACGCTCCACCATCCATCCATTGGTAAGTTGGCCATCTCTATTCAGTTTATATATGGTAGTAGCGCTTCTGTACTCCCCCTTTTCCTTAAACAACCTGAGCATAGCTGTGGGAGGGACCCAGCAGGCTCCACCCACTACAGGCTGCCTGCAGAAAAATACAGAAAGGGGTAAAGACAAGACCAGTCTCCCTGTACAAGGAAAGAGCAGTAGTGACTGGTCTTTATTACAAGAAGCTGCTGCACAGAGGCAAAATTTCACCCCGGATTACTTCACAGATCTGGAAGAAATACACAAAACGCATCAAGATTCAAGTAAGATTATACATGCTTCTTATTTTTATACAGTATTTGCTTTTTTTGCAGTTCATCTTTAATTCAGAAGAAGTATACAGATAAAGACATCCGACTACTGATATTCATATTTGTCCTGAGTCAGTGGTTCAGGAAATATTATTGTGTCAGTAAACCAAGCCAAAATATTTCACAGTTGTCTATGACCCCACTTGGGAGATTTCACATCACCGCCTGTTCCTGTGGCAGCAAGACAAGACATTAGAGGAATGGCTCTCATTCGGACAGTAATAATAACCTGACAGAAGTTCTAAACCCCTTTTACTGATAACAGAAAATGTTTTGTTAGAATCTGTATCTGCACTGTAGAGATTTCCCATCACTTCCTGCACCAGAATCTACACAATGTGAAGGTAGATTGGAAAATGGACAGATGTTCTATCCCTTCCTAACTCTGTAAAAAAATACATTTTGGCTGCCGTTGGGCTTTCAATAGACTAATAACAGCAGCCAAATGTAAATGTCTCATATACTCTTTATTTATTCATGTAAAAATTAGTAAAGTTATTTTTAATCAGTGACCTGTGTAATCACTGTATATCTTCCTTCATTGTCTAATCACCAGATCAATGTGGGGATTGGTGTTCCACCCAAAATCTGCAGCTCTGTCTCTGTCATTTCACATTCTGGAACAACATTGGGGAGATGAAGAAAGAGCATACATGGTCGAGGCATACACATGATACATGTTGGGGTGCAGGATTGGGACTGCAGTTGTAAATAATAGCAGGCTTAGCACTTGCCCTACTCTATAGGGCTGATTGTGTAACATCAAGGAGTCTAATATCAGTAAAGCTTGAACTTTGAGAAAATAAGATTGAAAAGGCATGCACTGGTTATTATGAATCATCAAAGCTTTTATTTATTTTTTTCTATTGGAGTGCTATAGGCATCTACTCTGAGTTATTATGCACTGGTTATTATGAATCATCAAAGCTTTTATTTATTTTTTTCTATTGGAGTGCTATAGGCATCTACTCTGAGTCTATCCATTGTCAAAAACTTCTATTTGGTCAATTAAAATCTTATTATATATCTATGTGTTTCTATTATTTTATACCCTGCATTCTGAAAATATTGCAAATGAAAAATATTTTAGCCCTTTTATACCATTTATTTCAATATAATTGTTGGAATTTATAGAGGTGATATGCCAAGGATGCAGTAGTATTGCATGGTGCTTTGCTGCTTCTATTGGGGAGTAGCATTTTTTTTTACAGTGTTTTTCACGAAAGGGTGAAGAGTTTGGAGAAGGCAGAAGTGAACAATCTAGGACAACATAGCTGAACCGAATTGCAGAATTTTTCCAAATCAGCTATGTTGTCCTAGATTGTTCACTTATCCTACCTTCTCCAAACTCTTCACCCTTATAATTGATCATGCGGAATTCTCCTGCATTCTATTCTAGAACCACTAGGTGTCGCTGATCTACATTTTCGGTACAGTATGTGTTTGTATATACAAATGCTTTCGCACTACTACAGTGTAACTCCGTTCATTCTCTAATCACCAGATCAATGTAGCGATTGGTGTTCGACCCAAAATCTGCAGCTCTGTCTCTGTCATTTCACATTCTGGAACAACATTGGGGAGATGAAGAAAGAGCATACATGGTCGAGGCATAGACATGATACATGTTGGCGTGCAGGATTGGGACTGCAGTTGTAAATAATAGCAGGCTTCGCACTTGCCCTACTCTATAGAGCTGATTGTGTAATATCAAGGAGTCTAATATCAGTAAAGCTTGAATGTTGAGAAAATAAGATTGAAAAGGCATGCACTGGTTATTATGAATCATCAAAGCTCTTTTTTTTACATTTTTTTTTATTGGAGTAGAATTGTGCTATAGGCATCTACTCTGAGCAGGGCTGGATTTCCCACAAGGCCACCGAAGCCCAGCCTGGGGGCGGCAGGGAGTAGAGGGACCGCAGGGATGTGGAATTCCTATCGCCCGCTGCCCGGGACATGCAGTTCCAGCGCCAAGCGGGTAGTTGTTTTTTTCTACATTTAGCAGAGCTAAATGTAGAGGGGGAGCAGGCACTTGTTTTGTACAAGCGATCCCGGCGATGCTGAGATCACTTGTAATTAGCCTGCTCATCAGTCCTCTCCCCGCCGTGGTTTTCGGGGTCCCCCACTCTTCTGTGGGACCTGGGACCATGGCAAGGTAGTTCAGGTTGAAGAGCGGGCAGCAGAGCATATAAACACTACGCTCGCAGCCTTCCCATCTCAGCTGTCACAGGAGTTGCGGCACAGTACCGTGCTCAAACTCCTGTATTGGAGGTGACAGGTTCAACAACTTTCAGGCTTGTTAGCTCCTGTGTGATAGCAATAAAGTTAAGTCAAAATTTAGTTTTTTAATAAAAAGTACAAAACAATAAAATAAAGATAAGTTAAATAAAAAAGTGGTAAAAAAGTAAGAAAAAATTAAAATCAACCCTGCCACCCCTGCTATCTAGTTGTCATTCTCCATTGGGGAGGTGGGGGGTTGGCAGGGAGAGGCAGCGCATTGAGGAACCTGGTCTTGGGGCAATAGAGAGAGTAAATCCAACTCGAATTTGTTCAACTAGAATTTTGTTATATATTTATGTATTATATATATTATTTGCATTTTAAAAATATTACCAATGAAAAGGATTTTAGACCTTTTATACCATTTCTTTAAATATAATATGTTGTCATTTATAGAGTTGATATGCCAAGGATGCAGTAGGATTGCATGGTGTGTTGTTGCTTCTATTGGGGAGTGGCATTTTTTTGTTTTTTTGTTATTTACAAAAGGGTGAAGAGTTTGGAGAAGGTAGGATAAGTGAACAATCTAGGACAACATAGCTGATTTGGAAAAATTCTGCAATTCGGTTCAGCTATGTTGTCTCAGATTGTTCACTTCTGCTGCCTTCTCCAAACTTCACCCTTTTGTAAATAGACCTGATAATTGATCGAGCCGAATTCTCCTGCATTCTATTCCAGAACCACCAGGTGGCGCTGATCTACAATTTTGCAGTTGCTCAAATCTGTGCAAATGCTTATCACTTGACATGGGAGGATTGTAGGCAGTCAGCATCTAATGTGATCATGTTGGTGCAGACAATGTAAATGTGATGGCTTCTCTGTGCCAGGATTATTTAAAGGGTTGTGGGGAGGGGGAGCTGGTACCTTGCCTAGCCCCTGTTCTGCCTTAATTTGACTCTCTGTGATGGTAACCATTGTCATCAAGGGCTTGTTCACACCAGTAGCTGTGCTCAACTGCATGGCTGCTGGTGTGTGTGTGCCTGAACAGTGCCGATGTGCTCCGTTGAGATGCATCGCACTCTTTTTTTTTTTTTGGGAAGAAATGTATTGACTTATCACAAGTGCTAAGTTCTATGGGCTCACTGCTGTGTGATGTGGCTGTACCACGTCTCATTGCGGTGCGCTTAAAAAAAAAAAAAAAGTACTACATACATTTTTTGAACGCACACCACTGGAACACGGTGGTGTGAACCGAGCCCACCAATGACGAGGCAAATTTAACTTGTCCAGCACAGCCCAAACGCATATGGTGTGAATGGGCTCTATGACAGAAAATGTTGGAAGTCCAAAATTTTACAGTTCTTATTGTAACAGGAGGTAAACTGAAAACTTCCAATAGGGACTTCTGCCCTGGTGACAACAATCTAAAGGGAGATCAGTTTAGAGGTTTCCTCTCACTTCCTATTAGGAGGGAAGGTTAAGGGGAAAATGTCCCCAATGAAATTGAAAAAACTTGGCAGGGTTCTAAGCATTTCCTACTCTGTCCAAAGATAAAACAAATGATTTGGCTTTATATATACTTTCAAATCTAATACCAGTTATGTAACTGCAAGTTTCTTACTCATTAAAATTCTCTCTACTTTTCTCTTTACAGAGGTGATACACGGTTGTGCTCGCAGGAAGCTGTTCTCTACTCCATCAATTCTTCTACAACTGTCCCTCAAAGGGTAACAGAAACGGTGCAAGTGGTTAACCTGAATGTCTTCTGTATTCAAACAACCAACTGTGAGTACCTCCGAATTTACATGTACACTAAAAAAGGGAAACTAGCTATTTTGCTAATCGGTTTCAGCTTTACATGACTGATTTGTCTCTTATTATAAACTGACTGCATGGGTTATATATGTGCATGTTGATTATGTGATGAGATAATCTAACATTGCACTGTCAAATTTTTCTATGCTCATCATCTTGAATAGGCATGTTTATAGTATGTCACCCGTCACAGACTGTGAGCACGTAAAAGCGGATGGTTCTTCGAAGATCATTGTTTAATCTCTATTTCGCTAATCACTGTTATTAGGCTAATATATTGCAGAACAAATACAGAATTTGGAAGTTAATATTACTATAGATTAATTATGGAGTAAAATTTCTACGTCTCTGATCACTATTACGCTAATGTATTAGAGAACAAATACAGAATTTGGAAGTTGATATTACTATAGATTTATTATGGCGTAAAATTTCTACTTCTCTGATCACTATCACGCTAATGTATTAGAGAACAAATACAGAATTTGGAAGTTAATATTACTATAGATTTATTATGGAGTAAAATGATTACAACAAATTTAGCTCCACATTCAAACTAAATATTTATTTTGTGCCGGCATTTTTTATCTATTATAATGATTGCAACACCAATCCCTCTTGCTGTCTGGAAGAGGGGTTGAAAAGTCCTGGCTTTTTGTGTGGAAATGAAGCCGATTTTGGAGAGTTGGCTGCATGCTGGTTGCCGGACTGGTGATCTGAATACAGGCAGCTCTGCTATAAGTGACATCAGTTCCCTGGAAGCAGCATCAGGCCTACTCTCCTGAATACACTGAAAAGGATAAGGTGGCAATAGAGAAACCTATCCACTAAGCACTTTGTATGGCAAGGCTCTGGTCCTAGAGTTCAGAGCTAGCTCCATAGCCTGGAGCTACTTTTGGGCTGCTCAGATTTTTTAAAAATGAGCTCTGAGTTAGAGATGAGATGCTGAAGTCAAGCCATAGGAAATATGCCACTTCCCTTTTCACTGCTCTATCACATGACTGTCATACATTTAAAATAACATTGGTCAATATGTAATTAAGTCAGAACCATGACTCAACAGTGGAATAAAGTATTATTTTAATGTACTTTTGGATCTATTTTTGCTTATGCTTGTTGCATGTGATTATCTTGTGGAGCCTCTTGTGCAATGCCTTCACTAGAACATGCTGCATTTGAACTCTTTTTTTTTTTCTTTTTGTTTGACAGTTTAAAAAAAAAAAATGTATTTTCACATTTGAGCTCCATTTTCATGTATGCAATTCCTGAAGGTAGATATTTTTTTTCAAAATGTAGCATCTGTCCCATAGCTTTTAAATCTAGAAGAATATGCATTAAAGTGTATCTAATCTTGATTTACTATGCCTACTGCTTTTTTATATTTTTTGTTAATAAAGACATATTAATTTAAAAAAGTGTATCTAAATCCAAAAACAAAAATGAAATCTATTGTAGTTTACTAGTCCTTAGGTGTGGTGGCAGCATTCGTTTTCATTTTTTACACTTTCTGGAAGGACAGAAAACCAGTATCCTTATAAACTACCTGTGTGCTAAACTCAAGTCTCAAACAATATTATCAGCTTTTTCAAGGTATCTTCTGTGAGCTATTGACCCCTCCTCTTTATGTAATTCAGTTGAGAAGAGAGGGATGTGTTTGCAGTCCAAATCAGGAGAGCAGTCTAGGGTGACAACGCTGCTCCTACGTAAATATAGTATGGTGAGTGAGCATTGTCACTCTAGGGCAGGAAATGTGTTATTAGCTGGACCCCCAGGTGAAAAAGCCTTACAGAGGAAAACGAATACAGCCATCACATCGTAGGTTTGGTGAGCTGCAATATGTGACATCTTTGTTTTTGGGTTTAGATACACTTTGAGAGCGAATTCCATTCCTGTATATAGGGTCTTATAGGAAATAGATTGCTGACATGTAAAATATGTGCTACATATCACCAGAATTGCAATACCTTGAGGTACTACCATATTTTAAAATGTGAAGGACTCTGATCTCATCCTTTCCTCATGTCACTAAAAAATGTGTTTAATGACTCAAGCCTTTGGCAATTTTTGGTTTTCTCCTTAATTTTACTTTTTTTATGAACAAACCTGGGGAGTACCTGTCTTTTAATATGCGCATTTTACTATGCAGCCTGCCTTTAAAGGGTTATTAAACTCTCACGTGTTTTTTGCATATATCTATTGCTAGCAAGCAGTAGATATATGCAAAAACATTTTTTTTACAACTTTTCAAAATGGCTAAAACTTACCTGTGTCTCCGCCGCGCGCTCCCGTTCAAGATTTGAACATTCTCGGGCGGCTGCAAAGGATCTTGGGGCGGGCGTATGTGCAATTCAGATCTTCAGCCGAGAGACGAAGAGAGACACAAGGTACGTAAATACAGCAGTGTGCTGCCGCACAGACTCCGTGGGACAGGAAGTGCCAGTTAAGAGAGATCAGTCAGCGCTGGCAGTACTGCTGAAAATTACATTAAATAATTATCCTTTAATGTCACTTTATGAGATGTAATTATTGTCATTGTTTTAATAATGGTCACCATTAAGGTTGCTTTGAATGTTCCTTATTCATGGGTGTGGTACACTTCTCCTTTTTCACTTGAGAACTGTAATTTTGCTCTTGTCTCCAGCATGTCTCTTCTGTAAGTGGTATTCCGTGGAGTAAACTGAAAATTACCATCATCGATAGGGAATTGTTGTTGATGTTATTCACAATCCCGTATTAGGCCTGAACTTTTCTTAAAGTAAAACCCCAGGAATAGGGCCTTTTTTTTTTCCGGGTGAGAAAGCCATAGTTACCTCTCATCCCATGGCAGTATCTCCACTCTCTCCTTTTACTATCACTATTTTTACTTACATTGCATAGCATAGCTCCAGCTGTATTGCCGCCACTTTGGATATGGAAGCTGCCGCCCCCATGCATGGAAGGGCTAGTGTTGTTCATACATGCCCCTCTCCCCTTGGTCATGGCATGTATGGTATTGTGTGAAAGACCCAGAGGAGAGAGGGGCATATAAATGACACTAGTCCTTCCATGTATGAGAGCCGCAGTTCTCATATCCTCAGTGGCTGGAAGTACATCGAGAGCTGTACTTAATATATATATCACAATCATAAAGGACATGGCAGCAATCTGGCCATGGGATACACCTGAAGAGAGCTAGCTAGTTTACGTACCTAAAACAAAAAAGCCTATGCCTGGAGTTCTGCTTTAACCTTGCATGTTCTAGATTAGATTCCCTCAGGAAAAACACAACTTCTCCTTTTCTGTAATCTTTTTTTGTAGTGTCTTATTTATTTTGTAAAGTACCATGACCAAGTAGAAAGTAAAGATAATTCCATGGCTTTAAAATCTTAATCTTTGTAAATAAATCATGTTTGCATTGATGACACCGGTGATGTGGAACCTTTTTATATTTTTGTTTTTACATAAACAAGACTGTCTTCCACACCTACATTTTCATAACACAATAAATAATATTTACCTACGATTTCATTCTAAGCCTGGATGCGATTCCCATGGTCTCGCAAAGTAAATATTGCATTAGAACTTTTTGAAATACATCTCTATATTTTGTTGACTTTTCAGTAGTATACAAAAATGTGGTGATTTTTGTCATTTTTAAAAAAAACTTCTTCTTTTTTTTTTTATACACCTAACTGTTATGCTATTACTTAGGTCATACAGGGCTAGCATACAAGCGAACCCTTGTGTGTAACAGCCATCACCAGATGTAAGAAATCGGCACCAAGATGCTGCAGCAGCCATGATCTTGGTATCAATTTTACAGCCGGCAATTGCTGTCACATACAACAGAAATTGACAATTAAGCGTATATGTTAACTATGTTTATTTGTTATATTTGATTAGTATGAATGTCTGTTTTTCCTTCATATAGACCAGCCAGCATTGTCGTATATAACTCCAGATGAACCAACAGAGGCAAGCTTTGACAGTTTACTCAGAGAGTTTGGTGGAAACCAGTTTAACACTAATACTGTACTTAATACTGTCGTTTCTACTGAAGCCCGAAACCGATCCCGATATGAGGTAAGTTTTTTTGTCTCAGCCTGATAGACTGTGGCTGTTTCAGGGACTGCAAAGTGAGAATGCAAACCTAAATCAGATCAATATTTAGAGTGTCCACCCTTTTCCTTTTAAACGGCATCAATTTGCCAAAGGTTAAATCTGGGGAACTTAAAACTCTACCCTATTCCCCAGACTGCAAGAGTTAAATGCTCTGTTTTGTATCAGGTACCAAGAAAAGGGATTTTTACTTCACCTATCCTTCACTATCCTGGCAGCCTGAGATTACCTCTTCTCTCTGTGGGGAAAACCCCACTACACAAGGGTAGTTTTTTTTTTTCTTCCAGTTTCCCCGAAGTTAAGCTTTAAGAAGCGCTGCAGGTAGGTTGTTTCAAACATCTAGGACTAGCTACAGTTCTTTGGTGGATTTAGGTCCAGGGATGTCCAAACTCCGGCCCTCCAGCTGTGGTGAAACTCCAAATCCCATGAAGCATCTCTCTCCGGCAGTCATGTCTGTGGCTGTGAGAATCTTGCAAAGCCTCATGGGATTCGTAGTTCCACCACAGCTGGAGGGCCGCAGTTTGGAAATCCCTGATTTAGGCTGTCTTGGTTGCTTTGGTCTGTTCATGTAACCCCAGAGAGACTCCATGGTTTTGAGAGTTGGGTTCTATGGGAGCCCACACCATCTCTTCCAGGATTCCTTGTTCTTCTTTTCACTGAAGATAGTTCACTATGACTTTGGGAATAATTTTTGGGACCGGTCGGACCTCCCCCTAATGGTACTGAATGATGAATAAGTATCTGCCTATACTTTTCCTTATTAATGAGACCATTATTTCTAAACCCAACCCATGTGGAGAAATACAGCACCAAATCTTTAAGAGACCTCCACCATGCCTCAATGTTGTCTGCACTCACTCATACAAGTCTGAAGGCCTTCAGCGAACAAACTGCCTTCTGATACAGCCCAAAACTTTAAATGTGGAATTATCCGTCCAGAGCACCTGCTGCCATTTTCTGCTTACCAGGTCTTGCGTTTTTATGCACAAGAGTTTTGCTTGGCCTTGTTTCCATGCTGGAAGTGTGGCTAAAGAGTCTTCCATGAAGACCACATTTGACCAGACCAGACTAGGTGTACTGGGGTCCCACTGGTTTCTGTCAAGTTTCAGCTGATGGTGCTACTGAACATCTTCTATTTGCCAAGGGAAGTCAGCAAGAGGGGCCTTTTCATCTACTGCACTAAGTGTTCTTGGTGAACCACTGCTTTTTCAGTCCTCAACATTGCCTGTTTCTTTGCTTGTGTAGCAGAGCTTGGAAAGCACGCCTGGAAACGCCAGTCCATAAACGTTCTGCCTGTGGGAGACCTTTGTGATGCAGTAAGATCTCCCTGTGTCTTTTTGCTGTGCTAAGTCTTGCCATTGCGTCATTATTTTATTCCTATTTTTTACATTGAACCGTCTAAAGCTGGCCATACACCTTACAATTATCTGCAGATTTTTTGTGGTCAAATGGAAAAGGTGCAACAGATTCCTCCATCTACACTTACCTGTGTGGATGGAGTAATCTCCACCTGGGCCAATCTGTTGCACTTTTTTTCCATCTGACCACAAAAAATCTGCAGATAATTGTAAGGTGTATGGCCAGCTTTACAATCTCAGCTTGTTAGTAAAGCGTTGTTTTTCCTCATCCAGTTTCATTTTACACAGCTGATTCTGTTTGATTTAAGATAGTATGTTAAGTTCCATATTGCCATTAAACCTACATGTTATCTTGTTGATCATTATCACCTGTCTGGTATAGTTTTTTAATTATGCATTGGACCATATGCCTCCAAAATCCAACTGTGTGCATGTGTACCTGGAAGAGTTGATGCTCCTTGAAACACATAGGATGAATACCTCACATATTGATTTGATTTCTGTTTATGCAATTTGTAGGTTAACTGATGAATATAAACTTTTTTGTTGTTGTTGTTGTTGTTAAAGCATCCTTGCTTTGCAGCATTATCATTATTTGTTAAAGTATCCTCACTTTACAGCTTTTTTTTTTTTTTATGAGTGCCTTTGCACAGTATTTTTATATACAATCGCACTGTGTGTAAATAAAGCCATGTAAATGTTACCCATGGCCTAATTGCAGTAAGAAATTGTCAACCCTTGTACTATTCCATTTAATATGGGCTATAATATACTTTTCCTTATTCTGCAGCAGCCCAGAGTGCTTTTATTTTTGCCTATAGTGAGGAAAATAATGATTTGATCCCCTGCAGATTTTTTAAGTTTGCCCACTTACAAAGAAATGAAACGTCTATAATTTTTATCATAGGGGTATTTTAAATGATAGAGACAGAATATGAACCAAAAATCCAGAAAAAAACACATGATACAAATGTTAGAAATTGAGTTGCAGTTCACTGAGTAAAATAAGTATTTGATCTCCAAGCAAAACATGACTTAGTACTTGGGGGAGAAACCCTTGTTGGCAAGCACAGAGGTAAGACGTTTCTTGTAGTTGGTTACCAGGTTTGCACACATCTCAGGAGGGAATTTTGGTCCACTCTTCTTTACAGATCTTCTCTAAATCCTTAAGGTTTCTTGGCTGTCGCTTGTCAACTCAAAGTTTCAGCTCCCTCCATACATTTTCTATGGGATTAAGGTCTGGAGACTGGCTAGGTTACTCCATGACCTTAATGTGCTTCTTCTTGAGCCACTGCTTTGTTGTCTTGGCGGTATGTTTTGGGTAATTGTCATGCTGAAAGACCCATCCACGACCCATCTTCAGTGTTCTGGCTGAGGGAAGGAGGTTCTCATCCAAGATTTTACAATACATGGCCACGTCCATTGGCCCCTCAATGCGGCAAAGTGGGCCTGTACCTTTAGCAGAGAAACAGCCCCAAAGCATAATGTTTCCACCTCCATGCTTGGCTGTAGGGTTTGTTTTCTTAGGGTCATAGTCAGCATTTTTCTTCCTCCAAACGTGGTCAGTCGAGTTAATGCCAAGGAGCTCAATTTTGGTCTCATCTGACTGCAGCACTTTCTCCCAATCCTTCTCTGAATCATTTAGATGTTCATTGGAAAACTTCAGACGTGCCTCTACATGTGTCTTCTTGAGGAGAGGGACCTTACGGGTGCTGCAGGATCTCAATCTATGGCGGCGTATTGTGTTACCAATGGTTTGTTTGGTGACTGTGGTCCCAACTGCCTTGAGATAATTCACAAGCTCCTCCCATGTAGTTCTGGGCTGATCCCTCACTTTTCTCATAATCCTTACCCCATGAGGCAAAATCTTGCATGGAGTCCTAGACTGAGGGCGATTGATGGTTATTTTGTATTCCTTACATTTGCGAATAATTGCTCCCAACAGTTGTTTCCTTACAACCTGTCCATCTATCTCCCACACTGACTGCCTTTTAGGCTTTCCCTTTTAAGACTCATCTCTTCAGGGAAGCCTATCCCACCTCCCCCTAACCACTGAACCATAGGGCAACAGCACGGGCAGGAGACTGCGCGATCCGCCCGGCTTGATTGGGACGGTTCACGCCTTAGCGACTCCTGACCGCGCAGAATCGTGCACGATTGCCGTGCGGTGAGGCGTTTGCGAGATGTGAACCTAGCCAACATGTTGCCCTCAGACTGAGAGAAGACAGACAATGGGGCAAATCATTGTCCCTCAGCCGTAAAAGTTTGAGTGGCTGTTCAGTTTGTTACAGTTGCCCAGTCATGACTGGTTCTCTTTTTAAACAATCTGATAACCCCATGTGCTTGATATAATAATGTTTTCATTCTTATGAGTTAAGTAGTGTAATATGTACAAGGATTCAAATATAAACTTTGTACCACCACATATTATATACACAATAAGGGTGCCGTTCTATTTATAACAATGTGTTGTGAATCAAACACATTAGACCAAAGTGTTCCTCTTTTTGAGTACATGTAAACACAAGTGCATTGAATCGGCACTGTTATTCCGATGAGCCATTTTATTGTAAGAATGTTTGTGAATAGCTTATAAAGAGCTGGATAAATACCCTCATATCTGAGTAAAACAGAACTGTGATTCCCACAACAGGCATCACTGTTAAACCAATCATAATTATATTGAAATCTCTGATAATCCACAGAGCAACATTCTTTCAGACAGGAACTACTATGTGAATGTACCTTGGGTAACGGCAGACAGAATAGAGATCATACAGAATAAACATTTGAGGATGGCCACAGAAAGGACCATTGCTCTAACAGGTTATAGCAGAAATGATTCTTTTAGATCATAGGCTCAATAATAGCATGCAATGTCAAGCCGCAGTTTCTTAAGCAAGCAAAATACTTTTTTTTTATTATACGGGGTCTAGACTCCAGAGACAGAGACATAATCCTGCCCCTGTACAAAGCATTAGTAAGATCTCATCCGGAATATGCAGTTCAGTTTTGGGCACCAGTTCATAAAAAGGATTTTGTGGAACTGGAGAAAGTACAGCGAAGGACGACTAAACTGATAAGAGGCATGGGGGAGCTCAGCTATGAGGAAAGATTAGCTGACCTGAATTTGTTCTCACTGGAGAAGAGGCGACTAAGGGGGGACATGATCACTATGTATAAATACATAAATGGTCCATATAGTGAGCTTTGTGCCAAATTATTCACTTTAAAGGCGAACTATGAGGCGTGTGCTTTTCACTCATCCTCATAGTTCTAGCCGACCTGTGACAATGAGACTGTCACAGGTCGGCTCAGTAGATCGGGAGGTGAGCGAACACATACCGGTGTTCGCTCACTTCTCGATCCTGTCACGGCTCTCTGCCGTGACAGGGGAGGGGCTGGATTCCCCCCCTCCCCGATCCTCCAGCGCTGACTGACAGAACGGATGGGGGAGGGGGCGGGTACAGCTGGCTCTGCCACTAGATAGGCAGAGCCAGCTGTCACGCAGCTGGGCAGATCCAGACATAATTGTCAGGATCCGCTTCAGCTGCGGCGTCTCAGTATACCGCGAGCTGCAGCTCGTGGTATACTGCTGCGTCTCAGTATATTGCGAGCTGTAGCTCGCGGTATACTGAGCTTAGGGTGACGGAAGGATGCTAGTTTGTGTCCACCCGTTACCCTAAGGAGCCTACTATTACTGTAGGCCAGGTGCTGTCTGTCTGTGCTGTCTGGCAAGGATACATGGATCACAGTAATGATTAAACAGAATTACAAATCTCTGATAATTATGAAACCTCAAATTTTAGCTTTTTACACATATATTTAATTTCTGACCTGATCCATGTAGTATAGTGGCACATATCTGACCTGCTCAAAAAGACATTCTTGCAGCTTGCAGTAGAAAAGCCATTAGTCCAGTAGGAGACTTAAGGTGCCCATACACTGTGAGATTTTCATTTGGAAATCGTACACGAATGGTCTTTCAAACGAAAATCGAACAGCTGATGGTACATCTCCTCGTTTTCATTTTTTTATACTGTGATTGAAATTTTTAGTTCGGTCAGGTTGTACATTTTTTTTTTCTGACTGAACAAACATCAATGAATCGGTCTGGTTTTTGTTCGTCAAATGCACAAAAGGAAATTATTTCCGTCATCTTGAAAAATGTTTTGGTTAGTATGGCTTATGAATGTTTTCCGAAATCGACATTTGACTATGCTTGATGGGAAAGTCTAGGTATAATCGAACGAGGGCTCGTGCCAGAAGCGAAAAATTTCAAACGAAAATCGTACAAAGTATGGTCACCTTAACTCTTTGCCCCATAGTTTGATATGAAGGAAACCGTCCATTAGCCCTGGTTCACACCTAGGAGGCACCATTTTTGCGTGTTTATACATGCGTTAGCAGCACGCAGTTAGTTGCGCGTTGTGCACATTTGTATGTGCGTTTTAACGTGCTTACAAGAAGACGCGCATTTTGATTGGCAGCTCATAAACCATTGTGGGCAATGGCAGAACGCACGTACAGTATAAACACGCAAAAACACTCATGAAAATGTGCAACATGCTTTTGTTGTGCATTTTTGGGCATTTCCAATGAAGTCTATGGGGAGGAAAAGCGCTTTTAACTGGCCAAAGAAGGTTCTGTATCTTTTCAGGCGTCTGGCGTTTTCCTTCTAGGGCTGTTTTCTGCTCAGGTGTGAACCAGGGCCATTGAAAATCATGGGATTTCTTGTGTTGGGCAGATAAAAGCGCTTTTCCAACTGCTCAAAAACGTCTAGGTGTTCACCAGGGCTAAGGCAATGCAGAGCATTCACAGCACCAGGTAGAAAGCTGTATTCTGTGCCAACAGGGAATCTTAATAAATGATCTTATGTTTCATTTGTGCTAGGCGAATTGTAACGTTTGTGTTTGTTGTTTTTTTTTGTAGTATGGTGTACCTATTCTAACTAAAGACTCTTACCTAAAGCTTCCAGCTCCTCTGGGCACAAATACATGCACTGACAGTAGCCCTATAGGTAAGCTTATTTCATCTTACATGGTAAACAAGACAATCATTTAGTTTGTTAATTTGAAATTAATCTTAAGATCCTATTTAGTATAGGGTGGATGTGCTGTAAATGTCTGGTGTGCAATTTTATATATGACTGCTGGACCCTGTCTTGAAAATCTGCTGGTATGGCGTGCCATTGTCAACCATTTTCATCACTTTTACCTTTTGCTAGGACAGTTGGGCCCCGCACTAATCACGGGAGCTGAAATGAACAGCTCCTGGGCCTCTGACCATTCTACAGATCACAAAGGCTAAAAAGCAAAAAAAGGTCAGGGTCTCAGGGGGATATAGTGAGAAAAAGGCCCAGAGACTTGGCAACATTTTCAGGCGTGGTCAGCAACGATGCTTTCATTTTTATTTATTTTTTATAACTGTTCATTAAATTTGTTTTTAAACATATTATTTTCATTTATTAATACCAGTTGTTGCTAGTTTAACCTGGGATAGTTAGTAGCTATAAGAAAGATATTTGTAGCATGTAGTACTTACTACCCAATTAAAGTGACCCTGTCTATACAGGTTTAAAACAACAAAAAGTGATACCTGCAGCAAGGAAGAGGCTCTATACTAACTTTCTGATGGCCTGGTTCTTAAAACACCTCAATGCTGCTCCCCTGGTGCCACACAAATTAAATACTTCTGGGTGTTTGAATTCCGGCTTCCCCTACTGCACACAGTGGTTCCTCACGCAGGCTGGTACATTACTGCAGGACATATGACCTAGCAGAATCACTGTGTAGGACAGGGTAAAGGGGTATTTGACTCATTCAGCCAATTAAATACTTGCAGCAGCTGTGGGGAAGCATTGTGGCAGCGTTTCAAGACATGGGCCATCTAAAAGGTAAGTATATTGCCTCTTTTTTTTTTTTTCTGCAGGTATTGCGGCTTGCTGTCTTAACCCATTTGTGACAGTGCCACTTTAAGGGTAGTTAGTCACCCACATAACCTGAGTTCAGTAAAACCACCATCAACAAATCCACAATAGTTCTCAAACATTTTCTTTGTCTGACTGCTCCATTTGCAGACTGGGGGCTCTATTAAAACCACAAAACACTAAACTAAAAAAAAAATTAAACTCTCCAACGTAGTACCTTACCAAATTATAGTGAATTAAGATTAAGGCCTCCTTCATTCTGCTTGCATTGCGCTAATGTTCAGTAGAGCACTGTGCATGCATTAGTTTGAATAGCACCCCCCCAATGCACCTGGGTGGCACGATGTGCATTCAGGGGCACTGCGTTGCAAATAAATACACCAGTACCTTACATTTTTATGTGTTACAGGTAAATTAATTCTGAATGGGCTGTTTGAAAGTTAAATGGGCAATGAAGCTGGCATGGAGTAGTGTCCTCAGTAAAAGTGTGAGCATTTCCCCTCTTGTGTGGTGGTAAATCACTTGGAAGTTCTGCTGATGGTACTGATGGTAGGCAGTGGTGAGAACTAATCACTCAGATCTGGACTCTATGGGGTTGATTTACAAACCTTATAAACACACCACGAACATGTATACACCTCTGTAGTGTGTTCCCTCCCAGCATGATCTATGGGTGGAATCTAAACACCTTTTGTAGAGTGTACACACCCAGCAGGTGTGTTGTGCAAAGCCCTGCCCTGAATTGCAAGGTGATGTTGTGTAAATTAGCTCTACATTGTGTTGCTTGCGTTGATGAATGCAGGAATGTAAATGCATGAGCTAACCATTTTTGTCTAAACTGTGAAGCAGCATTATATATTCATCATGTGCATGATTTTTCCATATATGGCATTAGTGGAAATATGCTTATAGAGACTTTTTGGTTGATAAATACGCTTTGCTGTGTAAAAATCACACGCACCTGGTGCGTGCGTGTGTTTAGGTTAGTAAATCACCCCCTATGACTTCTGTATGAGCTGAGCCTTTACAGGAAGCACACAGGATAAAGTGGAAGTATCAATTCTTTTCAATAACGGCTTGTTGCCAGGCAGTAGTTCTGGATTGTCCTGTTCAGGATTAAAGTCACACTAAATTCAGGAGTTAAATCTTAAAAATGCATTCAAGTATCTTAACTATCAAAGCAGAACTCCTGGACAAAAATATTATTAACCCTTTGCAGTGGGGCTACCCTTGTGCTACAAGGGTTAGCTGCTCGTTTTGGTCTAGGGAGAAAAAATACAGTTATAATCACGTGATCCTCAGAGCCGGCTTGCTGTTAGACAAATTCTTCCAGCGTCTCTCCCCCCTCCGCTGCAGTGGTCTAAGGATCCTGGAGTCATCATGTCCAATACACTGGGGGGAATTTATGAACTTGTTTGCAACACTTTTTTTGTCACAAAATCCAAAATGTCATGCTAACTAACCGCAAAGTTTTAATTCTGTTTTGTGTCTTTTTCACAGTGTTCTTGCGACATATTCATGTATGCATAATAGAAGTCACCAGCACTCGATATGTGCAAGAAGTGAAGCACTTTTTATTCAATCGTTACATGCGTCAAACAGCCAACGTTTCTGGGCCACGCAGGGTCCCTTTTTCTGGGTGACATAGCCGTCACTATGCGTGGCCCCGAAACGTTGGCTGTTTGACGCATGTGACGATTGAATAAAAAGTGCTTTACTTCTTGCACATATCATCGAGTGCTGGTGACTTCTATTATGGACTGTATCTGACACGGCGCCATCCGTGTTGTCACTTCAAGCACCAACCTCTTACTCAAGGTCTGTACACTGTATGGAGTGCAGGTGATTTCGTATTATTGATATTCATGTGTGCGACTCACTGTGCGTGTTTTTTGCGTAATTTCTCAACTGCACAGTATTTGCATCCAGCATTTGCGACATTTAAAAAACCCTCCAAACTGTTACAGAATCTAGAAGTCCCCCTGAGCACTTCTTAAAGTATCGCTAAGATAACTCGGCTTCATACACTCAAGTCATCTAATCGCTTTTGGGCTATTCAGCTTTCAACCTGGAGGTTCCCTGCAAGCTTGCAACAGTTTATGGACAGGGACAATTTAGAGACAATTCTCCTTTATGAAGGCATTTAAAGTGACACTAAACTACTTGTAAAGTAGTCACCGCTCCAAGCGTGCCACTGTGATAGACTACAATCTAAATACAAATTTGTAAACTAAGGGGGTTATTCACCAAACTGCCGAAGGCCGTCACAGGAGCGAGCTTAGAGCGGTGGCTACTTTACAACACACACAGAGACCATGGGGAACAAAAGTAGAAGGAAGGACAGTGTCAGTATGAATTCAGAGATAATTTGAGGATCTACAGCCGAATGATACACAAATAAGATACATTTTTGTAATGGTTAAGGTACTTGAATGAATTTTTAAGATTTAACTTCTGGAAAATTTCCTTTTTTTACTGATGTTAATTTTTTTCTGTCAATAGGCTTTTTGGAAAGACAGAATTTGATATGCACTAGAGATGTGCAGCTAGAGAATTGTTCAATTCCTGCCCTGACCCTTGGAACTTACACAGCCATCCAGATTTTACCTGTAAGTGAAGAAAATGTTCTGTATGTATGTTAAAATAAAACCTGTCAGTTCGGGTGCCTTGCAGTGTTTGCTACTTTTTTTTCTTTCTTTACAGGCTCCAAATTCACAAAGTGGGGTAAGCGCAGCATCATTTATATCTTAAATGTAGTGCTCTTAGTCAATAAATACCGTTGGAAAAAAAAACTTGTTTAAAACATTGAAGCTCTGAAAAGCATGATGGAGTTAATAGTCGTTAGCCAGGCAGATCAGTTTTTCTTTGATCACTATATTATATCAAATAACAACATGGCTGTAAGTTCTTTTTATGTACCTGGATATTATCATTTCTATAGTAATTTTTGTTATTTTCTCGGCAGATTAATGTGAGTGTGCAAGCTGTTACAATGCGGTCTATAACTGGCACTCTCGTTAGAATAAATTTTAGTGACCAGACTCCAACCTATAACAATATTACAGGAATCTGTACCAATGTGGTTCTGGGGGTAAGTTTTTTTACATGCGTAACTGGAATACCTGTAAAAAGTTAGTCCCAGGTTGTTCATGTCCTGTCTTTTTCAGATCACACTGGACTGGTACGCAGGCACATTGAAATCCATGGGGCTGCGCGGCAATCGTTGTGTGCACTTGAACACGATCGCGCGGCCCTGGGACGCGCGCCCCGGGTGTCGTGCGGTGTAGTGCAGGTGTGAACCTAGCCTTAGAGTGTTGATGGTGTTATAAACTCCACCAAGGATTAGTTGACCACTAATCTTTTAAACTCTGGGTTCTAGTCGTTCGTCCAATACCTCCAACATCCCCTTTCTTCACAAAGTACAAAACACATCTACCAAACTGCCTCTTTAGAAAAGAAAATCTGTAAGTTACACTATTAAAACTCACATTGGTTAGTGCTATAACTTGCACAGGTTTACGGTGGGTAGTGTCTGGCGGCTCTTCTACCACCAAGTCTCCTGAATACCTTCACAGGCCCAATGTGATCGCTTGTTGTAAATCAACTCAACAAGTTTAATCAAAACAGACTTTCTCAAGAACTGAACATGCATGGCTTCTCACTAATTGTATACCCTTATAATGCAAAACATAAATATAGCAATTTGTCATATATGATGAAATTGCACATGGTAAAGAACTAGAGATAGCGCTTAGATTAGTGTTTCTTGGCTAGTGTCCCGTTTTTCCCCATTGTTTGTGTGTTGTGCTAATTTCTGTTAATAGATCAGTTATTACTAAATGTAAACCAGCTACATCATGTTTTTTTAAGAATACAGTAAATGTGATAGAGGTCAGAATGGGTAACGTAGAACAGCAGTGTATTTGTTCATTGTTTTGACGCATGATTTAGAACACAATTACATGTACATATAGCTGACAGCAGACATGCAGACTGGTAAGTATTACATTTGTAAGTAAGGTGTCTTTAATTATATTTCTGGGGGTTAACGAAGGTTTAGAGCAGGGGCGCCCACAATTTTTCGTCTGGAGATCTACTGTTCAAATGACTAGCTCAATGAAAAAACACCTGCATTCAGGAGCGGGCGTGGCAGTGCTTTGAAGTCAATTCCACACCCCCCCACCCGCAAAAGGCGATTGCCCGCACCCGGATCTGCAAAAATGCTGCAAGCACTGGCCTCTCTCTCTTGGCTGTCTCTTCTCTCTCTCTCTCCTCGCGCTCTCTCCCTTGTTTCTATCTGCTGTTTCTTCTCTCTCTCTGCTGTCTCTTCTCTCACTTTCTCTGCTGTCTCTCCCCTGCCTGTCTTTTCTTACCTCCACTACAGCAGCTTCCCAGGTCTCCTCTCGTGCGCCGTCGTCTTGTCCTCCCGCGATGCTCGTGTGGCTGACGTTGCACACGGGGAGAGGTGTCCTGCCCCTTCCCGTCTGCGGCGTCACGAGCACCGCAGGAGGACAGGACAGGTCAGTGAGCCGACCGCAATCTACCAGTGTTTGCTTTGCGATCGACTGGTAGATCGCGGTCAACCTAATGGGCACCCCTGAATTAGGGGTTAGGTTATGGTTTGCACATTAGGGGTTTATTGTTTGTTTTAGTGTTAGCTTATAGGATAATGTTAAGAATAGTGTTAGAGGTCAAGTGTTAGAGGGATATTTAAGGGTTTGATTTGGCGTTGAAACTTTGGGTGGTTTTATCTCTTTCTACTAAGAGATATAATTTCTTCCTTGGCAGTCACCTCATTGAGTGTAGCTACAAAGGAGATTTTAGGTATCTTGTTATATAGTACCAAAATCACATGCATCCAGATACCTCAAAACCACATTGTAAAAAATTGGCAATTCGTGTATGTAATGATAATTCAAGGTGCCATTTTGCACCTTTTAGATAGAGAAGTAAACTGCATTAAAATGTTTAACTTTCATGACCTTTTAAATATTCTGTATATATCTTTGATGACAGCCCAAAGCACATCAGTCTGTTATGATCAGGCCCACAACTCTAGTACATGGTACATTCTGATGCTTTTTCAGTGAAGTTGTGTTGAAAAGTGTAATTTTCATTTTATTTAATGTTGATCAGTGCTTTGTACGTGCATTTACAATTCTGAGACAATGTTCATGTGTTCTCCTCTATAGGGAAGTTACTCCATAATATACACAGCTCAGGGGGAGATAAGAAGTGTCCTGGCATCGTTCACCCTCGGAACAATTAGCAGAACCCCCTTTCAGCAATCCTTCCAGATCAGTTTCACAGAGGTAAAAAAGTCTGCATTATTATAAACTTTCCAGAGTGGCCTTTTGTGCTGTGCACACCACGTTCTTTGTAATTAATGTGTACCTATAGCCAAAATGTTTTTGGGGGATTTGGATATACTGTAGTAGGGAATGGTTGGAACCCTTGTTAGGTGTTTGGTGCTGTGTCCTACACCTACTCTATATGCCCTGGTTATCCTTGGTGCAGGCCCGGACATAAGTGATGGCAAAAACAAATGTATTCAATGGTCCCTAGAACAAGAGCTGTGGGGACACCTACTCCAATGACCATATTCATATGTGTATGTATATATAACAAGCTCAGGGCTCCAACTGATTCTGCATTATGGTGAGTTGTATAATTTGATTATATATTACAATGTCGTAATAATAGAAATAAAGAAGTGCACAATAAATGTGCTTAAAATATCCCAAAACTATCCCCCACTCCCTCCCCTCACATCCCCCCACAACCTTTCCCTTTCCCCAGTCTGTGGAATTTATTCCGCAAAACCAGTCCCTAGTGCCAAAAAGGTAGTGGACCGCTGCTATGGGGAACTACAACTCCCAGCAATACTTTATAGCTGAAGCCATTCTGCATTGCCTTATAGAGGACTACAACTCCTAGCAATACTTTATACAGAAATGCAGAATAATTCCATCAGTTACAGAGGTCTACAAACATGGTACAGGCACATACAGAAGATGAAAGCAGTCACATCTCCTCCTCCTCTCGGTGGTAACACCATGGCGGCAGGCTGTGTGATCAGGAAGCTGCTCACTGGTTCGCCAGGGCCCCAGTGCTGCCTCAGTGTGCATGCAGGAAGGTAGTTACGCGTGTATGTATATACACTACATTACCAACAGTATTGGGACACCCTCCAAATCAATTAGATTCAGGTGTTCTGTGAAATTTCTTTGCTACTAAATATTCCATGGTCTGTTAGTGGTATTCTAACAAAGTGGAAGCAACTGGGAACAACAGCAACTCAGCCACGAAGGGATAGGCCACGTAAAATGACAGAGCGGGGTCAGCGCATGCTGAAGCGCACAGTGTGTAGAAGTCGCCAACTGTCTGCAGGGTTAATAGCTACAGACCTCCAAACTTCGTGTGGCCTTCAGATTGGCGCAACAACAGTGCGTAGAGAGCTTCACGGAATGGGTTTCCATGGCCGAGCAGCTGCATCCAAGCCGTACATCACCAAGTGCAATGCAAAGCGTATCACTTCAAGCACCAACCTCTTACTCAAGGTCTGTACACTGTATGGAGTGCAGGTGATTTCGTATTATTGATATTCATGTGTGCGACTCACTGTGCGTGTTTTTTGCGTAATTTCTCAACTGCACAGTATTTGCATCCAGCATTTGCGACATTTAAAAAACCCTCCAAACTGTTACAGAATCTAGAAGTCCCCCTGAGCACTTCTTAAAGTATCGCTAAGATAACTCGGCTTCATACACTCAAGTCATCTAATCGCTTTTGGGCTATTCAGCTTTCAACCTGGAGGTTCCCTGCAAGCTTGCAACAGTTTATGGACAGGGACAATTTAGAGACAATTCTCCTTTATGAAGGCATTTAAAGTGACACTAAACTACTTGTAAAGTAGTCACCGCTCCAAGCGTGCCACTGTGATAGACTACAATCTAAATACAAATTTGTAAACTAAGGGGGTTATTCACCAAACTGCCGAAGGCCGTCACAGGAGCGAGCTTAGAGCGGTGGCTACTTTACAACACACACAGAGACCATGGGGAACAAAAGTAGAAGGAAGGACAGTGTCAGTATGAATTCAGAGATAATTTGAGGATCTACAGCCGAATGATACACAAATAAGATACATTTTTGTAATGGTTAAGGTACTTGAATGAATTTTTAAGATTTAACTTCTGGAAAATTTCCTTTTTTTACTGATGTTAATTTTTTTCTGTCAATAGGCTTTTTGGAAAGACAGAATTTGATATGCACTAGAGATGTGCAGCTAGAGAATTGTTCAATTCCTGCCCTGACCCTTGGAACTTACACAGCCATCCAGATTTTACCTGTAAGTGAAGAAAATGTTCTGTATGTATGTTAAAATAAAACCTGTCAGTTCGGGTGCCTTGCAGTGTTTGCTACTTTTTTTTCTTTCTTTACAGGCTCCAAATTCACAAAGTGGGGTAAGCGCAGCATCATTTATATCTTAAATGTAGTGCTCTTAGTCAATAAATACCGTTGGAAAAAAAAACTTGTTTAAAACATTGAAGCTCTGAAAAGCATGATGGAGTTAATAGTCGTTAGCCAGGCAGATCAGTTTTTCTTTGATCACTATATTATATCAAATAACAACATGGCTGTAAGTTCTTTTTATGTACCTGGATATTATCATTTCTATAGTAATTTTTGTTATTTTCTCGGCAGATTAATGTGAGTGTGCAAGCTGTTACAATGCGGTCTATAACTGGCACTCTCGTTAGAATAAATTTTAGTGACCAGACTCCAACCTATAACAATATTACAGGAATCTGTACCAATGTGGTTCTGGGGGTAAGTTTTTTTACATGCGTAACTGGAATACCTGTAAAAAGTTAGTCCCAGGTTGTTCATGTCCTGTCTTTTTCAGATCACACTGGACTGGTACGCAGGCACATTGAAATCCATGGGGCTGCGCGGCAATCGTTGTGTGCACTTGAACACGATCGCGCGGCCCTGGGACGCGCGCCCCGGGTGTCGTGCGGTGTAGTGCAGGTGTGAACCTAGCCTTAGAGTGTTGATGGTGTTATAAACTCCACCAAGGATTAGTTGACCACTAATCTTTTAAACTCTGGGTTCTAGTCGTTCGTCCAATACCTCCAACATCCCCTTTCTTCACAAAGTACAAAACACATCTACCAAACTGCCTCTTTAGAAAAGAAAATCTGTAAGTTACACTATTAAAACTCACATTGGTTAGTGCTATAACTTGCACAGGTTTACGGTGGGTAGTGTCTGGCGGCTCTTCTACCACCAAGTCTCCTGAATACCTTCACAGGCCCAATGTGATCGCTTGTTGTAAATCAACTCAACAAGTTTAATCAAAACAGACTTTCTCAAGAACTGAACATGCATGGCTTCTCACTAATTGTATACCCTTATAATGCAAAACATAAATATAGCAATTTGTCATATATGATGAAATTGCACATGGTAAAGAACTAGAGATAGCGCTTAGATTAGTGTTTCTTGGCTAGTGTCCCGTTTTTCCCCATTGTTTGTGTGTTGTGCTAATTTCTGTTAATAGATCAGTTATTACTAAATGTAAACCAGCTACATCATGTTTTTTTAAGAATACAGTAAATGTGATAGAGGTCAGAATGGGTAACGTAGAACAGCAGTGTATTTGTTCATTGTTTTGACGCATGATTTAGAACACAATTACATGTACATATAGCTGACAGCAGACATGCAGACTGGTAAGTATTACATTTGTAAGTAAGGTGTCTTTAATTATATTTCTGGGGGTTAACGAAGGTTTAGAGCAGGGGCGCCCACAATTTTTCGTCTGGAGATCTACTGTTCAAATGACTAGCTCAATGAAAAAACACCTGCATTCAGGAGCGGGCGTGGCAGTGCTTTGAAGTCAATTCCACACCCCCCCACCCGCAAAAGGCGATTGCCCGCACCCGGATCTGCAAAAATGCTGCAAGCACTGGCCTCTCTCTCTTGGCTGTCTCTTCTCTCTCTCTCTCCTCGCGCTCTCTCCCTTGTTTCTATCTGCTGTTTCTTCTCTCTCTCTGCTGTCTCTTCTCTCACTTTCTCTGCTGTCTCTCCCCTGCCTGTCTTTTCTTACCTCCACTACAGCAGCTTCCCAGGTCTCCTCTCGTGCGCCGTCGTCTTGTCCTCCCGCGATGCTCGTGTGGCTGACGTTGCACACGGGGAGAGGTGTCCTGCCCCTTCCCGTCTGCGGCGTCACGAGCACCGCAGGAGGACAGGACAGGTCAGTGAGCCGACCGCAATCTACCAGTGTTTGCTTTGCGATCGACTGGTAGATCGCGGTCAACCTAATGGGCACCCCTGAATTAGGGGTTAGGTTATGGTTTGCACATTAGGGGTTTATTGTTTGTTTTAGTGTTAGCTTATAGGATAATGTTAAGAATAGTGTTAGAGGTCAAGTGTTAGAGGGATATTTAAGGGTTTGATTTGGCGTTGAAACTTTGGGTGGTTTTATCTCTTTCTACTAAGAGATATAATTTCTTCCTTGGCAGTCACCTCATTGAGTGTAGCTACAAAGGAGATTTTAGGTATCTTGTTATATAGTACCAAAATCACATGCATCCAGATACCTCAAAACCACATTGTAAAAAATTGGCAATTCGTGTATGTAATGATAATTCAAGGTGCCATTTTGCACCTTTTAGATAGAGAAGTAAACTGCATTAAAATGTTTAACTTTCATGACCTTTTAAATATTCTGTATATATCTTTGATGACAGCCCAAAGCACATCAGTCTGTTATGATCAGGCCCACAACTCTAGTACATGGTACATTCTGATGCTTTTTCAGTGAAGTTGTGTTGAAAAGTGTAATTTTCATTTTATTTAATGTTGATCAGTGCTTTGTACGTGCATTTACAATTCTGAGACAATGTTCATGTGTTCTCCTCTATAGGGAAGTTACTCCATAATATACACAGCTCAGGGGGAGATAAGAAGTGTCCTGGCATCGTTCACCCTCGGAACAATTAGCAGAACCCCCTTTCAGCAATCCTTCCAGATCAGTTTCACAGAGGTAAAAAAGTCTGCATTATTATAAACTTTCCAGAGTGGCCTTTTGTGCTGTGCACACCACGTTCTTTGTAATTAATGTGTACCTATAGCCAAAATGTTTTTGGGGGATTTGGATATACTGTAGTAGGGAATGGTTGGAACCCTTGTTAGGTGTTTGGTGCTGTGTCCTACACCTACTCTATATGCCCTGGTTATCCTTGGTGCAGGCCCGGACATAAGTGATGGCAAAAACAAATGTATTCAATGGTCCCTAGAACAA